GGAACGATTGTAATGAAGTAGAGAAACACTGAAATGAAAGCCTGCATAATTTACTATTTCAGATACAATATTAAGTTTAATATTGTGTGCTATCTTTGTTTTGTTAGTTTTATTCTCTGAATAACACTGCACAGCATATATTAGGATTACTGCCTTAGGAGCTCTTTTATGTGTCTTGCTTTATGTTTGCTGTTACTCAATACAGATACAAGATATCTAAATAATTTATAAAGCTTAGAAGTTGTTTGATATGGCACAAAGAAAAAGTTGATTTGTCCTTAAATCCCCTACTGAGGTAGTAGTTATAAAAGTCTCTATATAAAAATGCTTGAGTGACAGCATACTTGTATGATATAAGCAAATGCTTTGAATACTAATTTCCATATCCAAAGTATAGTCTCATATTGCTGTTTCTTCTTGCAAAGATTTAGAATTAAGTTTTATGGAGACCTCATAAAATTTCTTTTCTTTTCACAGTTCTGTTAGAGGAAGAAATTATCAAGACATCTGGACCAGTATGAAAGAGGATTTTGTAATTAGCTTTAAAAACTAGGCTAAGCAGCTAGCTTCCTGTGAACAAGAGGTTATTTGGTTTTCTTTTTTCCTTTCTTCTTTTTTTTTTTTTTTTTTTTTTAATGCAGCATACATGCCTGAAGTTAGCCTTCATTTTGACACAGCCATCATTTCCTTAAATGCCTTCCTATAGCTGATAGTCAGTAGGGCCAGGTTGCTCGATTGTATGGTGAATGTTAAAATATTTTTTCATTTTTGTAAGTAAGTTGAAATTAAACTTTTACCAATGAAGTATTTTGATAATTTGTTTGTTTTTTTTTCCCTAAGTATGCGAATCATCTATTGTATTTTTAAGTCTGAAATATGCATCCTATTCCCATAATGTATTTTATCATTATTTTATTATTATACATAGAAAAAAAAAGTGGCTTTTATGGTGGAAAGAAAAATGCTTAAATCAAAGAAGCTGAGTTACGTATCTAAACACTTCTTAGGCACAAAATAGCTCAGCATTTCAAGGTTTCTTGCATAATTTTGCATAAAAACATTTTAAATTCAACTTACTTGATAGTATGGCTGTAATTCAGAAAGCCTTCCTTTTTCTATTAGAAGAATAGATATATTTGATATATTTGATATATTTTTTGCCTATGTTTGAGTCCTTTGGCAGAATTGCTTCTTAGAAATTATTTACAGGTTCATAATAGATTTTTCATTTAATTTGCTTTAGGCAGCAGCAAACTAATTATATAGATGTTTGCTATCGAGGAGAGTGCTGTGTTTTAGTGTATTTCTAGAGGAATGAGGAAAAAAAAAAAGTTAAAAATGATCGCAAATTGGATGGCAAGTAGACCTAAATTTCCATTGCTGTTCAAAACACGTACAGGACAGGCAGTGTTTGTTTATGCAACCTTCCTAATGCTATTTGTTCTTCAGTCTTTCTGCCTGACTGCCACATGTAAGAAAATAATTAAAAGAGCTAGACCTGTGGTAATGTTTTCTCTGTTGTAGAATTGCTCAGGTTGGAAAAGACCTTAAAGATAATCAAGTCCAACCATGACCTAACCATACTACCCTAACTCTAAGAACCCTCCGCTAAATCATGTCCCTGAGTACCACATCCAAACAATTTTAAACACACACAGGGATGGTGACTCAACCACCTCCCTGGGGAGCCTATTCCAGTGCTTAACACCCTTTTTTCTAAAGAAGTTTATCCTGATATCCAACCTAAACTTACCCTGCCACAACTTGAGGCTGTTTCTCCTCATCCTGTCACACATCACCAGTGAGAAGAGGCCAAACCCACTCTCACTGCAATCACCTTTCAGGTGTTTGAAGAGAGCAGTAAGGTCTCCCCTCAGCCTCCTTTTCCCCAGACTAAACAGCCCCAGTTATTTTAGCCACTTCTCATAGGGCATATTCTCCAAGCCCTTCACAAGCCTTGTTGCCCTTCTTTGGTCCTGCTCCAGCTTTTTGGCTGTGGTAGCTGCCTCAACTTTTTACTCCTCTGACTTCAGAATAAAAAGCTGTCATTGCGGAAGAGCAAAGTCCAAGAAATTGACTTAAAAAAAAACATAGGTGCCTAAATTCTAGTTGTGCTTCATTTTGGTTATCCAAATCCGAAAATAGAAGTGCTCAGCAGTGAGTTTTTCACGCACACTTTTTTTAACGGAGTCTGGAACGTAGTTGTCCCATAGCATAAGCTGAAGTTTCTACAGCTTTTTGACTTGTACTAAACAGAAGGTAAACAGCTGCTCAGTGACCTATGCTTTTATGAATCCCATTTTGAAGTCACATGGCATTTCCCAGATATTGTCAAGAACTGCCTATTTTTTTTTTAATTTGGAGTTCTGGATTCCCCTTGTGATCACATACTTTAAATTACATTGGGTTGGACTCTGATCACATTTTCTGTTTCAGCTGTTATTAATTGGGATGCGTGCTTAGTGTTTCTCTGATCAATTTTAATTGATACAGTAGAACCTTTCAGCCTGTGTATGTTTAGATGTTTGGGTTTTTTTTTATCCCCTCCATTTGTACTGTGCTAATTGCTTTTAAAGGTCAGTATAAAGCACAGTGTGTTGACTGAAGGAGGCCATACAATTTTAATACTACTTAGCAGGCTCTTGGAAAAAAGCAGACTTTAACAATATGCATGTTCTGTGACAGTTATTGGTTTGTAAAGTACAGACATTGAAGAAAATACCAGTGGGCTGGATACTTGTTATAGCTTAATGATATCCTGTGGTTAAATAAAGGCCAAGGCAAACCACCCATGCTTATTTTCAAGCTAGGATAAGTTGACTTTCTGGTAATTTTTTACTTTATGAATTATAAATAATATCTTGTGTCAATATCATTGTTTTCTCATTTCTGTAACATCTTGCTTATAGTAACTTATAATTCACATTTGCCATGGAAAGGATTTGTGCACAATTAGCAAGTACATCGTAATGAAGTGTAGTTAAAAACTTGCCTTCTGTGTGAGTTTTGTTTTGCCTTTTTTTTTTTCCTTTTTTTTTCAATTAAATCCAGCATTGAACAGCCCCAAAATAACATTGTTTAGGGGAGAAGTGATTTATTTTGTATGAAATACTCTCAGGGTGCCTAGGGACCAGTATTGAATGTGAGCTTAAATCTAAAACTCAGCATTAAAATTTAAGGTTTCTCAAGAAAGATGAGCACTGCAAGTATCAGCACACTGTAATGCAGAAATAAAGTGAAAATTACCTTGAGTATTTTAATTATTTGGATAAGGAAAATGGGAAATAAGTTTAGAAATAGCTACTTTTTCTTTTAGTACTCTGATCGTTAGCCACAGAACTGCCCAATCCAGTATCATCTTGTCTCCCCTTTAATTTCAGTGTATTTTTTTCCCACAGGATAATAGAATGCATTGTCTACTGTAAAGTATGAGCGTTCCAGCTGTCTTCCAGCTTTTAATGAGGTATCTTTGCAGGGAAGGGAGAACACTTAAAAGAAATGAAACAGGCCATTTCAGTAAAATGACACACTTTGAAATTTTTTTGATGTGTGTGTCTGATCTTTCCAGCAAGCAGAATCTGACCTAGTTAAACTTACTTTGTCAGCTTAGAGTTTTAGAGCAGCATTACCCAGTCTGATTAAAACAGCACCAATGGCATTCTCAGTTTGACTGCAAGCTCCCCTGAATGCTGCCTTACCACCAGATCCAGTTTGTTCCTTTGTTGCCTATCATGCTATACTCTATATAACCAAGTAGTAGTTAGTGGTAGTGTTTTGGGATATGCCAAAGTCAGTAGAGAGAACGCGCGTTCGAAAATGAAGCAGCTGCATGTGTGCAGTAGAAGTAGATAGAATGGATTCCTCTTGACTTGGTGCTCTGGGTCATCCAGTTTTGTACTGAAGGAAAAAAGAACATTGCTTTCCAGTCTTTCAAGGTGCTTAGTTTTATGAGTTGTTGTTGTTTTTAAGTTGGTGTGTTGAATCATGTTTCAGCTTTGGAAGGAGACTTTAGAAACTAGTCCACAGCTATTGTAAACTTACCTTGTATTAGGTCTTTTCCTGCAATGAAAAAGCTCCTTATTTGTTTGATGATGTGAATACGGTTAGGGGAGATCACGTCTCCTACCTAGTGCACTGAGGCAGACAAATCAATATCCTAAATTCTGCTTTGCTATTCCCATTTCTTTTTTTCTGAATGTGCTCTTTTCATGCTGCTAGAATTAGGGGTAGTGTAATGCCTTGGGTGAAGTGTAATGAACGTAAGTTTATTAGCTGATAAAGCTGTTGCTTTTCTTTTGGACAGTCTGAAAAAGTGCAATGGAATGAGATAGTTCTGTTCTGGCTTCCATCTTTTGTCAGTGTAAGGTATGAGTATTCATTATCTAAGCCTTACAAGCTCTGTCAGTGAACAAGTCAAATTAGTGTGTACAAAACCAAGATGGCTGATAGTGCTACTGTTTCAGGAACAAACAATGAAATGCTTTTTACACCTACCTGCAGAGGGAAGTTAAAAATATGTGAGAATTGTGCTTTATTTGAGAATTTCAATCCCCAGACTCTTCTTCCTACTAAGTAAATAATTTAACATTATAAACATGAACAATCTGAACTTAAAAATGCTCTCAGTGGACTCCAGTAGTAAAATAACAATTTTTCAGCAAAAGGTTTTTATAGGCAGCATTAATTATTTCAACAACTAGCTCTTGGAAACTTGAGATCATAGTGATTTCCATTATCACACTGTATACACATCAGATAAGACAAGTGGGATTTACCTGCACTGAGCACAATTCATACAGGAGCTGAAACTTGGTCTCATGTAACCCAGAGAGTGACGGTACAACTGTTTTTACTTTGGTCGTAGTGTGGATGGAGCAACTGGTTTGACTTTCAAGAAAATTATGACAGTCCACTTAAAATTAGTTTTCATGCTCAGTACTTCAGATATACATTATAAGAGACTTGTGTCCAAGTTGTATGCTGCAATGTAAAAATACTGCTTATTTTTTTAACATAAATGTTTGTTCTTCATTCTCTTCTGCAAAGTAATACTTCATTTGATCAGAAACTGTAGTTAGCTGATCGTATCAGAGCCTTGTGCGGGTTCCAAGCATTCAGTCTGTAGTAAAACTTGCCTGAGTTGTTTTCAGGTAAATGAATACTAAATTCCCTGTTGATCGGGGTAGCCCAGAGTCCCATTTGTTTTAAAATAAATACACATAAGAAAAAAGGAATCCTATGCTTCAATGGATTTTTCAGATAAGGACCGAAGCAAGTCCTTATAAATAGCAGAGTTCATGAACCGTGGGTAGGAGTCTCTGTGCATTAAGGTATAGATTTGAAGCTGTGCGTCATCGAAGGTGTGTTGTGAGGGTTCCAGCATATTTCGGTTAATCACTTCCCTTACTCTGGAGTCCAAGCTGACCTGCATGTTAAAATAAAGAATCATGTAAGTAATAGTGGTGTACAGTAGCCAGTTTCTTTGCTTTTTGTTCTGTTGGCTTAAAAATGTATATATTTTTTATTGTTTCAGTTGGTGTCCTTTATGAGTATAAGGACTGTTAAATATGCGTATATTTACACCAAGAATGAATGTGTTGAAATTTGGCAATAAAAATGTATTGAATATCATCAGAGAAAGTTCCTCGTAGAAGCAGTATTACTTGAACAAGGCTGCCTGCAACCCTGTTGCTACTAAAACCTGAAGGACTAGAAGATTATTTCCAGACTGACTTCCTGCTCTGTAGCAGAGAGGATTGGTAATGTTCTGTGACAGCTGATTTCCTTGGGAAGTAGTGCTGTGGTAAAGAGACTGACTTTGGAGTAAGCAGGATGATGCAGACACAAACTGCAACCTGGAAAGTTGGTGCTCATTCAGATCCCTCTTAAAAAGCAGGATGAATTGATGTGGACCACAGGCATAGTTATAGAACAATTCCACATGCATCCAAGTGATGTTTTTTGTTTTTTGTTTTTTTTTTTCTTGCAAGCACCAGTCTGTGGAAAGGTGTTAGCATTACTAGAGTGGACTGACTAGATTTAAGCAGTGTTTTAATCTGCATGCACTTGGCACCACAAATAATGAAGTGTACACATTTTGCAAGAATATAAGAAAGTTTAAAATTCCTGCCTTCTTCTAGAATTATACTCAAATTATGAACCAAGACCTGCTTGAAACTTGGGGCATTTTTTTACCAGCAAAGTGACAGGTAGGTTTGAAAAATTCTCAACTTAGCGTTTTTGTTGTGTGCCATATTTTGAGAGCTGCTTTTTGCACAAAGGCAATTTGTGCTGTGCAAATAACACTTCATTTGTGGTTACTGTGCTTTTAGAGACCTGATCTACGTGCACTGCAAAAGAAAACCCCACTGATTCGTCCAACAAATAAATTTTAAGTTGAGCAAGAATAAAATCTTCATCTCTATGTTGAACTCCATGATCTTTATGGTCCTTCCCAACTCAGCATTCTGTGTTAGTTGTGCCTCAAACTGAAGCCTTCACATCAGCCTGCCAAAGCAGCATAGGAAGAATTTTCTTACAGATGGTGAAAGTAGTTCTGACCATCTCACCTCAGTGCTGGGTTTGTATTTTACCCCTAAATCTCTATTTCTTAGCAGTGGAATGTGGGGGAAAGAGAGTTATCCCCAGGTATTCTTCTAGCTATAAACACATCAACCTTGCAAAACAGCATCAAAGAATGGGGAAAGCAATATACCTCCTTTGGAGAAAGGATAGAAATATAATCTTCATAAATCAGTCTTGCTTTTTCTTCGATGACGCTTTTGTTGGATTCCTGTTTCAGTTCCTCGCAGGCCATCCAGAAAAGCATGTTTTCTTCACTGAATTCTGTTCGTAGAAATTCACGAAAAGCATTTCGACCAGCTGGCGTGAGCATCAGCTTGTCAAATGACTGAGCCCAAGCATTCACTTCTTCAAGAGTAGGAGCGGGGCTGCAGAGGTAGGACAAGAGGACAAGAGAGAAATGAACAATTGTTACTCAAACTATTTTCATCTGGTAGAAGGCATCTGCCATCATGATGGAACAAAAATGCAAAGTTCATCAACCTCTTTACTCCTCACTGGAACTACCCACGTGCAAACTGCAGTAAACAGATGCATTTATGATAAGGTGATTACCTGTACGTTGATGCAGAAGTTGCACTTTACTGCTCAGAGTAATTGCAGTAGTAAGAGAAACCCTCGGCAATAACTAAGCTTTTTATTATTTGTAATAGTCCTTATTGAATCACTCAGTTACAAAGTGAATGAAAATATGTAAGAAGAAGTGACAATCCAAATACCACAGCAGACACCTTCCAGTCTACGGCAGCTTCACAAGTCCTCCTACCTGTTTGGGCAACTCTTAAGAGACAAATGCCTGATTCTTAAGAGTATCTGAGTTTCCCTTTGTGTTTATTCCTTTTCTAAGGCTGAGCTCTGCCAGTTAGCTCCAGTTTATGTATTAACCAAGTGGGGAAAATACTATTTTTTTTTTCAGATAAAGGATAGATGATGTTTACAGTCAGGCTACCCAGAGAGGCTGTGGATGCCCCATTCCTGGAGATGTTCAAGGCCAGGTTGGATGGGGCCCTGGGCAGCCTGGTCTAGTATTAAATGGGGAGGTTGGTGGCCCTACCCACTTGGAGGGGCGAGGGGGGAATGGATTGGAGCTTCATGATCTTTGAGGTTCCTTCCAACCCAAACCATTCTATGATTTTTATGATTCTATGATTTACTATGTGTGTTTCTTTGTTTTTATTTATTTTATCAGAAAGCATTGAAAATTGAAATGTGTTTACGCACTGCATATGAATGGGATGAAAGAATGGGCTATACATCAGACTCTTGGTTCTTTGAGGAGCAAGAGATGGATGACTTGCAAATTCAGCTTTATGATTATTTGTCGTTTGTTTGCATATGTCAGATAATTGATTTTCATTATTTAGTAAGATTTGAATTTTTGTTTCATTTCTTGTTTGATAGAGCACATGATAAAAACCATACCTTTCCTCACAGTTCGGAATTCCCTCTGCTTGGAGTTCATGGGATGTTCTCCTTGCTCTCTCTTCTTCCTGGTTTCTAACAGTAAGACTGCAAGGTAGCAAGCAAAAGTTTTGCCAATTTTATGAAAGGAAAGGTTGAATGAAAAAGTGTTAATAGGAGCCATAGTTATACTCTGATGCTAGCTCTTCAGTTGTGTAAGCTTAGCAAACGTTCATGCAGCAGAACTATACAATATCAGGCATGTCCTTGGATAGAAAGTAACCTATATCTGCAACAAAGTCTATATGTACTCCATTGAGGTTTATTTTACTGCATTGTTTTTTTTTTTAACCTAAGTTACCCTTGATGCAAGTATTTTATGTCACTTAGACTTGAGTGTTCTCTTTTCTTTGCTGATGATTCTTTTGACGCTGACTTTCATCATGTCTCCTTTTAGCAAACAGGAATTGAATTCTGAGGTTATTGCATTTCAGTGAGAAATGTGTGTGCACACAAACTCCTGTGATCTGTAAAGCTGCTAACAGTTTGTCAAAAAAAAAAAAAAAAAAAAAAACCAAACAGAACATCTCAGTGACTTACAACCAGTAATTTATATTAAATCTGTACTTCAGCTGAGATAAAGTGGTACAGTTGCTACAACTTCTAGGAAAATACCAAACTCTATTTCTTCACTTGTATCTTTCTTTCCCTCAATGTAACAGTTTGCTTTAATCTCTAAGAATCTCATTTGTCTCTAGCAAGGCTTTTTGTTGAACCAACCAATTTTTTTTTTTTTTTTTTCCTTCTTCTTCTTCCTTTTAAGCTCTGTCTTATTTGCAGCCTTACTATTTACCACTTATTCCTTCTCTTGCTGTCTCCACGGGTGGTCCATCATCTGCAGGGACCTGGTGGGAGGATGGAGAATGGTAATATTTTAAGGCTTGGGAAGAGTGGCTGGAGGTTTGGCAATAGAGGAGAGAAAAACTGAAGAGATGAGGAAGCTTTCCTGTTGTGAGATTTATGAGCAAGCACATCACCTATTGCAAGCACATCTTTTCTCTGCAACAATCCGAACCATACATTCAAACCAATGAACTACTGGAGTTTGTGTTTTTAGAAAATAAGTGGTTAAAGCCTATTCGTGCTTTTCTATATTATTTTTGTGTCTACATTAAGTATTCTTTTTACCAGTGGTTCTGGCCTCTTTTTAATAAAAGAAGTGGTATGTATTCCTCACACAAGAACTGATGTGCTCGTCAGAGTTGTTTTTAGATTGAGGGGAACAAACATATCCAACAGAAAGGGGAAGAAGACAAATAAGCCCAAAAGAAATTAAGTTTCCTTCAGAGGTCATGCCGTGCCTCACAAGATGCCCTTGCAGGTTAGCTCATTTCCTAGAAACGTATGGGTAAACAGAGCTAAGATTCAAAATGCATATTTTCAGGTTTCCAAAGAGCAGCGTGCTGGAGGCTTCAGTTTTAGCTGCAGAGTGAACATGGGCTGTGGGAATCTGGCTGAGAGACTCGTTTCACCATTTCATTCTAAATCTACTATTAAGTGTATGCTGGGTATTGGCTGTTCTGCAAATCAGCTGCATGACTCATGCAGACTGTTATTTTTATTCCTATTCATAATTTTTCTGTTCAAAGTACTTGAGCTATTTAGAGGAAAGGCTTTATGAACAGGGAATAAAAATAGCTTAATTATGGTTTGTTTTGCATTTCTTGCTACTAGAAAACAATTGTTCTCAAAGAAATCAAGGATTATTTTAAAGCTAAAATGAGCAACTCTGTTTTGGAACCTGTATTGGATTCTTATTTTATTCTAAAGTGCAAGTAAGAATTTTCAACATTGTGAAATTTGGGTAAAGTAATTCCATCTATTGAGTAAATTGTTTTCTTTGAATTGTTTGAATAGTGAATTGCAACAGATAATCAGCATCCTCAGGAATATCAGGTAAAAAGTTAAAACAAAACAAAAAAAACAGCTTATCAATAGTTTCCAAGACAATGCAAGTTTTATGTACTCTGACTTCATAGGTAAATGTCTGGGGTTTCATTCTATATGTACAAATGTATTTGTAAGTGTAATAATGCAGGTCCCAAATGACCCACGTGAGATTTTACTGGACACTGCTCAAATGGTACTGATGTTTGTACAGTGATGGTTGAGTATAGGCACCATTCTGCAAGGAAGCAAACTCTGATCCTGACCAGCGTGGTATTTCTGTCTCAGCATTACCGTAGTTTATCTCTAAGCACCTGCTGCAAGGCTCTGTAGGATAGAGATCGAGTCCTTGGCATCCTGCAAAAAAAAGAAGCCTTTTGTCCTTACCAAATGTTTTCTGTTTCCATCAGGGTGGACAGGGTTGGGTGTGTATAGGCTCTGACAAGCTGCATACTAATAGCAAAGGAATGATGAGCCTGCTGTTCCCTAACTTATGTTCTCCAAAGCATTTGCTACCAGCTGCTGTTGGGAAAAAGTAATGGTGGAACGGATTTCTTGTCTGGTCAATCAGGTTGTTTTATCACTTCTTTCTTCCACCTCAGTCCCAGGTTTGCTTGCTCGAAGTGTTCATATGGTAGATAGTGTATTTACAAGAAGCACTCAGCGTGCTGTCAGTGTTTTGGTTTAATTCTTATGACTTAGATTTTTTTTTTTTTCTTTATTTCAGTGCAAATTCTGGTCTAACCCATTAAATTAGTAACGCACCCCAGACAGGAACAGGACTTTAGAATGTGGCAAGCTTTGCTTGAATTTTAAATGAAATAAACTGCATTTGGTATGAGAGTAAAGGTGGACAATTTTTTTTTTTTTTTTTTTTTAAGGAATCCAATGGCTCCTCTTCCTGTCTTGATACCTTCCCTGATAAATTATAAATTTTCCTCTTCAACAGCTTGTAATAGGAGCTCTTTGAAAATATGTTCTGCTCCACTATTTACTGAAGGTGAGCATTGAACACTTCAGTGTTTAAAGTCTCTGATCCCAAGAGTTAGCTTGATATGAATTGCAGGTGCCATGAGTTGACACCACTAATTAATGACAACAAATCTGCTCGCCTTTGCAACAAAGAAGCAGTGCCAGACACTTGGCTGTTATCTTTCTGACCTACACATCCTTACATGTACTCTTAACTCCCTGTAGCAATCTGTGTTCCTTCTAAGGTGCAATCCTCCATCTAGAACTGTTACACATTATGGTATTGCTTTTGCTTTTTATTGGGAGTCCCAATGAAGCTCAAATTTGAAGAGAATCAGTATTAGTACATGATATACATTAAGTTTTCATTTAGTAGGTGATACACCAGTTCAAGGAAAAGGCCAAGAACAACCAGTTCTTAGCTTGCAGGTAACAAAGCCTACTAGGGAAGAAAAATAAAGAAAAAGGAAGTAAAAGGGGTGGGGAGGAGGAGCTAGACAAAACATTTCACTTGAATCACACCTGCAGTTCTGTAGGGATGGGCAAGGCTTGGGCCTATTGCTTCAGCTGTTGAGATGTTCTAAGCTCTGACGATGAGTACTAATTGAGACAACAGAAAGCAGGGGTTTCCCTGAGCTGAGGGCTGCCTGGTACCACAGCTTTCTGTCTAAGGGTAAATGGCTACAGAAATTGAAATAGACTTAGATGCTCACTAACAAGAGTAAGCACAGGGGCAATGATAAGGATTTCTAAAAGGAGGTATGTAAGAGTTAATGTTCTTGCTGCCTTTTTTTTTTTTTGTTCTGTTTCTAACTTCAGTGGAATGTGTTGCTGGGGCTTCACTAAGAAGGTGATCACGTGTGTGCGCACCTTCAAAGCTTAGAGAAAGGCTAAGGCAACGACTAAAACATCTCTTAAAATGCTTTCCTACTTATCCTCTTCTGAAGGTACTGCATAGAGATTAAATATGCACATAATGTTATTTCAGTGGCAAAAAAAATGCACTGCAGCAGAAAGCAGTGTCTTCTAGTTGCAGGCTTGCTGAATGCCCCAGGTGTCTTTTTGCTTCCTGCTGTCCCACGTGCTGGCTGTTATCTCCCTCCCCTTCTGTGCTGGGTAAGGGTCGTACCAGGAGCAGCTGCAGCAGCAGCACCAGCAGAAGCAGCAGGCGTTGGGCCCGCGGTTCCCTACGCTGTGCTGAGTCTGCACTGTGCCTGGGGTCTCCTGGGTTGCTGCCATCTGCCGCTTGCGCATCTCCGTCCGCTCCGATCCCATGGGCTGCAAGAGAGCAGGACAAGGGGAAAGTAAGGCACATCTGGGTTTTATCATTTTAGTTCTGTCACACAAAGCTACCAAAAGCTATTGAAAGCTACAGCTTCAAGCCTGCAAACAAACAATGCGACAATTATTGGTGGAGCCCAAGTTCTGCTGGTTGTTTAAAAACAAAACAAAAAAAAAGATGTCAGTGAAATGACAAGCTGTGCTGCGGGCACTGTCCCTTTCTGACCTGTGTGAGCTTCGGTCTTGCTCTGGAGAGCTCAGTATGTGCTCTCTTACTCAGAGGGTTGTGCTGCGTCTTAGTGCCTGATGTGTTTGTAGGTGAATTACCAGCTTGTAGAAAAGTGAGTGCAGCTTCACAGAGTCGCAGGGGTTGGAAGGGACGTCTTGTGACCATCTAGCCCGAACCCCTGCTAAAGCAAGTTCCCTATAGCAGGTTACACAGGAAAGCATCCAAATGTGTCTTTGAACACTTCCAGCGAAGGAGGCTGCCAGCCTTTCTGTGCACCTTGTGCCAGTGCTCCAATGCTTCAGTTGGATTGTGTTTGATCCTTGGATACGTAACAGTCATCCTCCTGTACCAAATGATACCTCTGTGTGTAAGGTTTTTTTTCAGGTAGCTAAGCCTTCCAAAGGGACGTGGACAGTCTGGAGAAGTGGACCCATGTAAAATGAGGTTCAACAAGGCCAAGTGCAAAGGTGTTGCACTTGGGCCAGGGCAATCCTGTTTATACAGACTAGGGGAAGAACACCTGGAGAGCAGCCCTGCAGAGAAGGACTTGGGGGTCCTTGTGGACAAGAAGCTGGACATGAGCCAGCAGTGTGCGCTTGCAGCCCAGAAGGCCAACTGTGTTCTGGGCTGCATTAAAAGAATAGTGGCCAGCAGGGAGAGGGAGGTGATTGTCCCCCTCTACTTGGCTCTTGTGAGGCCCCATCTGCAGTACTGCGTCCAGGCCTGGGGTCTCCAGTGCAAGAAAGATGTGGAACTCTTGGAATGGGTCTAGGTGATGGCCACTAAGATGATCAGTGGGCTGGAGCACCTCTCCTGTGAGGAAACATTGAGGGAACTGGGCTTATTTAGCTTGGAGAAGAAAAAGCTCCAGGAGGGGGGCTCATTGTGGCCTTCCAGTACTTGAAGGGAGTGCATAAACGGGAGGGGGAATGGCTGTTTACAAGGGTGGATGATGATAGGACAAGGGGGAACAGGTTTAAACTGAGACTGGGGAGGTTTAGGTTAGATATTAGGAGGAAGTTTTTCACTCAGAGGGTGGTGGCACACTGGAACAGGCTGCCTGGAGAGGTTGTGGATGCTCCAGCCCTGGAGGCATTCAAGGCCAGGCTGGATGTGGCTCTGGGCAGCCTGGTCTGGTGGTTGGTGACCCTGCACACAGCAGGGGAATAGAAACTCAGTGATCACCATGGTCCTTTTCAACCTAGGCCATTCTATGAGATCTCTCGAGGCCACGATGATTGTAGGGGAAACTAAAATTAGTAGTTACAGATTTGGTGTTAGTTTTGTGTTGATAATTTAATACCATATTTGAAATAGAGAGTCAAAGAGCAGATGGTTAAAAGTTGCCTGTTTAAAATGTTAGGTCAAGTTTAAGAAATGCTGTTCTGAGGTGGAGGAGGAATGCAGAGACGTTGCAGACTGAAGGAGAGTCACAAATAAGTGCATTATTTTAGCAGAGCACAGCACTCAGTTCTGCTGGATTATTATTTTTTTTTTTTTCTGCTCAATTTCTTTTTGTTTTATAGATCTTAAGAGTTTCTATTTTGCTTTTTTTTTGTGAGAACCACCCACTCTGACAAAGGAAATACATATGACATGCTGAGCAGAAGATGCACCTGTTTTGCAGGAGGAATGAAGCACAAGAACAGTGCAGACAGAAATGATAGCCCTTTTGTAAATCTGTCGGCCTAATCTCAGCAGCAGTAACTAAATGCCTAGAAATAGAAAATGAGGAAAAAAAAACACAGCTTCCAAAAAACCCACAGCATCGCTCATTTCAAAGTGTGGAAGTGTAAATGTGAAATGTAGATCACATCTGGAAATTCAGATTTCATAGTAATAGAATAAAAGACTAAATATTAACTCCTCTGCAGGTACCTCTCCTGTTTTTAAAAAAGTCCTTTTGTTTCAATTAGAATGTAAAAACTGTCACACACAGGGGGATTGATAATACATCTAACAGTTTTTCAGGCTTCCTTGGACAGTAAACAGTTATTATTGACAAGAGAAGAGTAACTTGGGGTCAGAGATGTGCTGTTTATGTTGCCTAACCTATCCAGGCTTCCTTTTTGAGATGTTTCACATGGGTAGTTCACACATTCATCTCCCTAATAATCCATTCTGTTAACTGACAGCGGTGTGTGGAAAAGCTGGTGCCTGTTGGCTTTTATTCAAGGGAAGAGATAGAGGGTGGTGGGTGTAGGAGGAATATGCTCTTTCACTCCACTTCTTCCTGCTATATCTTAATTCAAAAAAATGTTTTTGGATTCCACTGTTGCCATTTCAGTTTATTCTTCACGGTTATCCTTTGACATTTTTGATGAAGACGTAGCTGTTCAGTAAAAACTACCTGGTAGCAGTGAGTTCTTTGGTTCATTTGTGAATATTCACCTAGAAGATTTCATAGAATCACAGAATGGTTTGGGTTCGAAGGGACCTCAAAGAACACCCAGTTCCAACTCTTTGCTGTGGGCAGGGCTGCCTCCCACCAGCTCAGCTGCCCAGGGCCCCATCCAACATAGCCTTGAGTGCCTCCAGAGATGGGGCACCCACAGCTTCTCTGGACAGCTGTGCCACTGCCTCACCACTCTAGTTTTCTGGTATTACACACGTTTATGAATGTCCATCTCTTCCCACATATATTATGGAAAAGAAAGGACTGAGCAGAATAAATTCATTTTTTTTCCGTATGAGACGTGATAGAGGTTTGGAGTGGATAACAACCTGAACAGGATGTGACTTTTCCTGCTGTGTTAGCAGGAATACCGTGTTAAGATACAGGAAGTATCCTGTACCCCTCTGTGTGAGTACCTGCGGGTATCATGTGCTGTGTGGGTGCAGCACATTATTACAAGTAGGTGAAACTCCTTTGGCAGATTGTATTAAGAAAAAATCCATCTGCTGGTCCAGGTTCACAGAACAAGCGATGAGCCAATGATCCAGGCAGCACCACTCTTCTAACCTCTGGCTCTAAGCCAACCCACAGGTACATTGTTGCCTATTCTGTTTCAGTGGGACTAACTCCCTTTGGTCACGTAAGAATTATTAATACGCAGAAGAACCAGATGTCTTGTATAAAACACCTACATCTTGTGGTTCCATCTAAGCACAACTGTGAGATACAGCTAAAAATTCATGCTTGCAACATGAAACTGTGATCACACTGAGACCATGTAAGTGCCAAACGTGAGGCCTGAACGCACTGTAAGTTACTAGGCTCTGCTTACTGCCCCGTGGATTCTACTGCTATAGTACATAGTATTAGCGATGTTATCTCTGCAGACTTATCATTCCACGTGATGAGGCTGAAGGGCTTAAACCACCTGAAATCAAAACAAAAGTGTGACTGCTAAATGCCACGAGAGGGCTTTCCTTATTTTCCAGACCAACACTGCAGGCAACCAGGTTGTTTTAATGCTGAAAAATGGCAATTATCAATGGCATAACAAGCCAATAGCATACTTACAAAGTTGGTAAAGGGAAGTACAGATGTTGATACACATATATTTAGCTAACTTTGTTTCCTTCCGAGTCCAGCTGAGAATACGCTTTGCAGACTTGCAGACAGTGGCACAAGGAAGCAGAGGAAGAGGCACAGGTGCATTGCTCCCCTCCAGCTGCTGCTTTTCACTCATAGCAGAAGAGGTGGCTTACAGCCTGATTAATGATTTGCTTTGCTGTTTTGTTTTAAACTGAAAGAATGATCCATGTTTTCCTAAACCGCAAATGTGATGCTGTGGAGAAATGCTGGGCAGGGAAAGCATTAGCTGTAGAAATCAGCAGGAAGATTTTGGAGCTTGAGGAGCTCTGAGAGATGAAGTGTGTATCAGTGTGTCCAAGGGTAAGGGGTGCCTTGGAGCTATTACTTGGCTGTAGAAGAAGAGGGTACATTGCTGCTGAAAATAAGGTACAGAGCTTCCTCCTACACCTGGTGCCTGCAGATCGCCTACATCAGACAGGAGCCTGCTTTTCAGTCAGTATGGCATTGAGGTGGGAAAGAACCAGTGATCAGAATGATAGGTTTATCCTCACAGAGAAATTTTGTAATGTTTATGATGACCAACCTCTCGCAGGTACAAGTCCAGATTACTGGCCTGTTGATTTTGAAAGTCCCTTGGGCAGTCACACTGAGCTGAGCTTTGTTTTTTGAAGATCTGGGCAAGGCTGTATGGCTTCTTCAAGGTAAGGGAAGAAAGGTCCGTGAAGAGAGCTCAGGGGGACATTCATCAAACTAGATGGTGAGAGATGTGTTATCCTCAGTATGCCAGCATCCCATCAAACTCAGATGCTCCTTACTCTCTCATGCTTTTTTAATTCCCTGTCACCTAAAATTCCCTTACTAGGTTGCTGTGCTGCAAGAGAGATCTGTGTTCAAAAGTTTGGTCTGATGGGAAAAAATAACACAATCAGAAATTGCTTCTCTTCCTCTAGATAGTCTTTTTATACCAAAATGGAATTGCCACTGCTGTAAACTCCCTATGCCGTGAGCCTCCTTTATCTTCTCAGATTTCCAGGCCCCTTAGGAGGTGCTATAAAGCAAGAATAAACTATAGAGGAAGCCTCTGTATTGGATGCTGCTTGATCTTGAGAATCAGGGTCTGTTTCCTCTGTCCCTCAGCATACGCAGCAGAAATCTGCCTGGCTTGACATGGATTTCAGAAGAAAATAGTGAGGAAAAAGATTTAACGACTGGTGATGGATTGTTCATATGTGTTCTGAAACAGATCTAAAAATTCATTCAGATTTGTGATGGAATGAGGTAAGATAC